AACCAGTGTTGTCGTTTTCTGGTGAGGACGGGCTGATTTATGGGTCATAATAAAGTGCTGCAACTTATATTGTTGCTTTTCTGGTAAGGACAGTCTCTCTAAAACACTCCTGACGTGCATACTCGGAATGGAAATACGTTTCCATGACACCACTTTCCTCCTGATGTCGTTGAATGACCACAAACATGTGTCATATAAGAATTGGAAATTTAGACACACACGCAATATCAGGTGTTTGCTTTCCATGCTTCGCTGGATGCCCCTTTCTTTTGGCCATGCAGGTCTAAGTGCGCAGTGGCCTGCGCGCAAGCTCGACAAGCAGTTTACTGAGTGTGCACTTCGGTCGACGCAACAGCAAATGGTCCATGAAAAAATTGTATCCTTGTATAACGGGCAGATTTGCATTGTGAAGGAGCAGGTCGAAGCAGAGCATTGTTGCCTTCGGCTTGCGACTCTGGCTGAGATGTGTGGTGTAATGGTACGGGGATGTTGTAATATTATTTTGTTATTAGAAAAAGTAATGTGATTTTGCTACCTGTAAAAGCAATAGAAGTAAATCCCTCAGCTCAGTATGTTTGCAACTCTGGCTGAGATGGAGGTGAAATATGTGAACCTGGGCTGTGGTTTACTGCTCTCTTCCTGTCACAAACACTGTTTGACATCTGCTGGTTTTTGTTCAGGCTGCACGGATCATTTCTCACTGTGGGCAACACTTTTCCAACAGATGCAGTAGTAGGTGGCTGAATGGAGGAGTGTAATACTCGAGATCATCAAGTCGCAGCCGTACTCTTTTCTCAACACAGAGAAATCTTTTTGCTGAGGATGATTGTAGCGGGAATTAAATTTCCCATCTGTCAGATCGATACGTAGAATCACTGTGAACGGGCCTGTTTTTGTCTTCTGGTACCAGTAGACATGTTTTTTATCACACCCGTCAGTTCCTCCACAGCTGATGGAAACCATTTCACCAACTCTCCTGGTCTGCGACAACTGGTCTTGAATCAGCTCTTCTGCCATGGCAACCAGCGCTGTAGAGACACAGACAGATAGATGAAGGTCAGTGTGACAGTGTTTGTTCCAGGTGGAGTTTGCTGGCTCCTGATTGGCTGGAAACACTCACCTGAACACAGACAGCACAGAGCAGCAGCTGGGAGGAAAAGCATTGTGTGCAGTGGTGTTTCCTCTGGTGAACCTGGGGAGAAGTGGCGCTCTGATGCAGCTGAGGCCAAACAAGGACGAGCTGTGAGATCAGACGAGGGCCGCGTGGTTTCTAACGGGTCCTCAGACCTCCCATCAGCCCCTTTGGTGGACAGATAAGGCAGCTGTCTGACAATAGCTCCATTTCACAGCAGACATTTTCACTTGTAAGAAAAGCAAAGGTGTTACCAGTAACATGAATCATGGATCAGTTCTAGTCATTTGTCCCAGAGAGCAATGTTGGTGTGACAGTGAGCCGACAAGAACAACACCAGGAACCTGAAACTGAAGCAGCTAAATGGAATTCAGCCCTATTTGATTTATTTTATGTACACCTGTGACATGTCAAAATGTCTTCTGTAGGAAAAACGCCTGTTACTGATAATCAGATTTTGTGCACAGTTAAACTACTTTTATTACAATCTGATTTCTTTAACAAATGTTTCTGGTATAATTACATATTTTAAAGCAGTTTAAAGCGAGTGTACAATCTGAATAATTTAGTTTTGCTACGGTCTGAATGCTTGAACTGAAGTTTTCTTTGAACTCTCTTTGATACGTCACAGCTTTGGTCAAATTAATAAAAAGTATTATGAAGTTAGCGCTCAGTTTCTGTTATATCCCCTTGTTCTTGTTTCTTTTTCTGCCTCGATGCAGCTTGCTGTGCTCTTTTGTTGCTGTTTTTCTGAGGTATGTTTTGCACTTTATTGACCCTATATGTATTTTTAATTCAATTCCTCTTTTTATTTTCCTTTTTGTAAGACCAAACAATTTGGGGTTTTTTTGCAAAAAAAGTATTATGAAGTACTTTCTCTCTATATATATATACATTTTTTTTTGGAGCAGCTTATTTGCTTATTTAACACTTTGTGAAAATGTTTTTTCACCTTTAAATTGAACAACACCATCAAACCAAACCAGACAAGACAAGCAGTCACGTTACATTTAAAATTAATAAGTGATGTTTGTTAATAATTTGATCACATGAATAATGACCACATATTCCTTTTTAAGGTGTTAGAAAGGCGTCACATCAATAAAATAAGCTCCTGCACCACAGCTGTGTGATGGATTTCAAACTACATCATGTGGCTGATTTCTGTTTGCTGGTTCTGACCCATCACAGAGAAACACCTCCACCCTGTGGTGAATCAGAGGAAGTGCAGAGGAGTCCAGATGATGATGCTCTTACCCTCTTATTTTACTGGCAAAATAAATACACGTTGACATCTAGTCTAGACATCTCATAGCTGCTCAGCTACAGGCAGAGCCACAGACATTGTACATTGTAGATTTAATACCTACGGCGGCATCGGATTGGAAAGCTCAAGCCAAACTCAAGGTTAAGATAAAAACAAGCCAGTCAGATCGCTGTTTTAATCGTGCATGAGGTGGATGGTTGTTTAATACTAATTACAGGAAGTTTTTTGGAGTATCTTTAATAACATAATAATGTGTGGCTCCTTCTGAGGGGACCCCAGGTGTATGTGCATATATCTGGTTTAGGTATGTATTTGTTTTTATTTTTGGATAATTTTAACAGGATGTGTTGGTTTTTTTTATTTATTTTAGTTTGCCTTGCCATCCTTATCAGACTACAATGAGGACCACGATGGAAATACGGTTTTAAGTTTCTTGTTTTATCTTCAGCAGTTCTGGTGAATGTATTTTGTCACTGTGGATGACATTTTTATTGAGTTACTGTCAGATAATAAAAAATAAAATCAAACCACCACTTATAGCTCAGACTGATACGTAATCATAGAGGTTTTATCATGTGACAAATTTCCTCCTTATTTCCTTCTCTTCAGTTCATCATTTAGCCTGCTTTCTTGTTAGACAACGCTGCATTGTAAAATGATAATTTAATTTGTGTTGTTGTGTCTAAATTGCTGTGCGTATATATAGGCTACAGTTGAATTGATAAATACTACCACAACATATACTGTTGTTCCTGCTAGTATACTTCAAATACTACCCCTACAATAGGTCATCGGCTCAAAACAGAGTGCCTGCTATTGCTACCAAATCACAACCTGCAGCAATAGCCAGGTAAATAAAAATAATACTTTTAAAAGGCTAGAAGTACTATGCTACAATAGATTACACTCTTACCAATATTACTACACTGAAATACAGATCTGTAACGTGTTGTAATTTGCCTACATAAATGAATAAAAGCCACAGCAGTTGTTATTTTGGCCACTTCACCACGTTTAACATAAACCAGGGTTCTCAAAGTGGGGTCCAGGGACCCCCAGGGCCAGTGAGGGAGTTCCAGGGGGTCTCCAGCAAAAAGGGGAATACTTTATTTCGTTATAATTAGCACAGTGACGGAATGTCTGATTATTTTCTTCATGGGTTTCATACATTTTCTGTAATAAAACATCTAAAAGCAAAAATCCTATCAGATACCCTGGGACAAAATCTTATCAAATGGGGGTCTGTGGGGTAATTTGTGTTAGTTTAGAGGTCCCTGGTGTGAAAAAGTTTGAGAAGCACAGACATAAACTACATCACTTAACAGACCCATGCAGATAGCTAGTGAAGTTTGATGCATATTCACAGACCAGAGTCCATTCAGAAATCAGTCATTTTGAGACTACGTGGCTCAACAGTCAACATCTTTACATGTAGAATGAGCTGAAACTCATTTTCTGAATCGCCAACAGTCACAGAGTTTTCATTTGGCTGTAGATTCCAAAAACCCTAATAGTATTTAGTATTGAACTCTTTAATCCAATCATCTGCTACAGAATCACACCAGATGGACGTGAGCTGCGTGAATCAGATTTCCCCCAATATTTGATTGAATTAAACGCAAAATAGTGGATCATACATGCCGTTTTGATTAAAAGTCACTCAAAATCTATTTATTTAATACAGTTATTTGATTTGGCTGTATTGGCCAGTAACGTTAGGCAAAGTATTCAACTGACATATTTATGAATGGAGTTTGGTGGGCGCATCTTTTCTCTCCAAGTTCCAGGTCCAGACAAGAACATCATAACTCCATCCGTCCAAAGACCGAACACGCTGTGCTTACAGCAGCCGCCGGCTCCCCTGTTAGTTCGGTTTGTTTTACAGCCATTGTTTTAACCAGGGCCGAAGCTGTACAGATCCGTTAGCCTGCTAACAGCGCTGCTAACACATCCCGTGTTATTAGCCGAGGTTATTAGCAACACTCTGCTAACAGCTATCCAGCAGGCTAGTAACGTTAGCTAAGCTGGCCAGTTAGCTGCTGCTGTCATACAAACCACAATATACCACTAATCTGTAAAAGCACATGCAGCCAAAAAAAGGATTTTAATAATTTTTTGGGGGAATTTGGGAAACAATCCATCCATCCTGTCCAATTCTTCTGCCTTATACACTTCCTGACACAACAAAACGTCACTGCGGCGTGTTGCATTCTGGTCAATATAGTCCATTTAACTTTACCGTTGCTAATTTTAATCACTTAATTAAAAAATCGTGTTAAAATAAATACAGCAACTCTCATTTTCGTCTGTTTCCGACACAAGGGAATGTAAAAACGTAGTCGTTGTTTTTCTCTCGCGTAAATATTTAAAATTAATCACTCAGCACAACTACAAGTCCCACAAGAAGACGTCATGACGTAGTTACGTTTAGCAACGGTCAGTTGCTAAAGAGAAAAAGCAGCCGCTTCCGTGTTGTTCTTGTGTTATTCGGGCAAATATCAAGCGTTAGCAGAGTCTAAGCTCGCCTGACAGCCTCGCCGGAGTGAGACTAACATGGTTTTGTGAAGCTGACAGACAGTTTCAGCTTTTTTTGCACCGGAAATGTCGCTGCTGCAGAGCTCGAAGAAAAAAGACAAGCGTATTTTGTCTGGTACCTGCCCAGACCCGAAATGTCAGGCGAGGCTGTTCTTCCCCGCTTACGGCTCCGTTAGCATCGAGTGCACAGAGTGTGGTCAGCGCCACGAACAGAAGAACCTGTTAAATGTCGAGGAAGTGACTGATCCAGATGTTGTGCTCCACAATCTGCTCAGAAACGCCCTGCTCGGCGTCACCGGGGCCCCGAAGAAAGGCACGGAGCTGGTGAAAGTAATGGGGCTCTCTAATTACCACTGCAAGCTCCTGTCCCCGGTGCTCACCAGGTACGGGATGGATAAACAAACCGGCAAAGCCAAGCTGCTGAGGGACATGAACCAAGGGGAGATGTTTGACTGCTCGCTCCTGGGGGACAGGGCTTTTCTCATCGAGCTGGACCATGTTTCCACCATGGGCTACGGCAAGGACAGGTCAGGGAGCCTCATATACCTCCACGACACCCTGGAGGAGATCAAGAAAGCCAACGGCAACAGGGAGTGCCTCATCCCGGTCCACGTAGATGGAGACGGGCACTGCCTGGTGCACGCTGTGTCCAGGGCGCTGGTGGGCAGAGAACTGTTCTGGCACGCCCTGAGAGAAAACCTGAAACAGAACTTTAAGCAGAACCTGGACCGCTATAAGGCTCTCTTTCAGGATTTTATCGATGCTGCAGAGTGGGAGGACATCATCAATGAGTGCGACCCCCTCTTCATCCCGCCCGAAGGCGTGCCGCTCGGACTACGCAACATCCATATATTCGGCTTAGCCAACGTTCTGCACCGGCCCATAATCCTGCTGGACTCCCTGAGTGGGATGAGGAGCTCTGGCGATTATTCGGCCACCTTCCTGCCGGGGCTGGTGCCCGAGGAGCAGTGCAGCGGGAAAGACGGGAAGCTCAACAAACCCATCTGCATCGCCTGGAGCAGCTCCGGCCGGAACCACTACATCCCCCTGGTGGGAATCAAGAACACTGTGCTGCCCAAGCTGCCGGCCCGCCTGCTGCCCAAGGCGTGGGGCGTTCCTCAGGAGCTCATCAGGAAGTACATCAAGCTGGAACAAGACGGGAGCTGCGTGATCGGCGGCGACCGCAGCTTGCAGGATAAATACCTGATGCGGCTGGTGAACGCCATGGAGGAGGTGTTCATGGAAAAGCACAGCATCCACCCGTCGCTGGTGGCTGACGTGCACCAGTATGTCTACAGACGGACCGGCGTGATCGGCATCCAGCCTGAGGAGGTGACGGAGGCGGCTAAGAAGTCGGTGATGGAGAACCGGCTGCACCGCTGCCTCATCTGCGGCGCCCTCTCTGAGCTCCACGTCCCGCCGGAGTGGCTGGTTCCTGGTGGGAAGCTCTACAACTTGGCCAAGTCCACTCACGGCCAGCTGCGGCAGGACAAGAACTACAGCTTCCCCCTCAACAACGTGGTCTGCTCTTATGACCCCCAGAGGGACGTCCTCACACCAGATTATAAACTGAGCTCCCTCAACACCTGCAACTGGTGTCATGGCACGTCGGTGCGCCACATCCACGGCAACGGGTCCGTGGTGTACCTGGACGGGGACAGAACCAACACCCAGTCCCAGGGAGGGAAATGTGGGTGTGGCTTCAAGCATTTCTGGGATGGGAAGGAGTATGACAACCTCCCGGAGGCCTTCCCCATCACGCTGGAGTGGGGGGGTCGGGTGGTGAGAGAGACAGTATACTGGTTCCAGTATGAGACGGACCCGACTTTAAACAGCAACGTGTATGACGTGGCGATGAAGCTGGTCACCAAGCACTTCCCGGGGGAGTTTGGCAGCGAGATCCTGGTGCAGAAAGTAGTCAACACCATCCTGCATCACACCGCCAAGAAGAACCCGGACGAATACAACCCGGTGTCCATCGACGGGGCTCATGTCCAGCGCCTCACCGACACCGCGGAGACTCAGCAGGTGGCGGACGCGCAGCCGCCCACTAAGATCATCCTGACTGGTCAGAAAGCGAAGACGCTCCACAAAGAGGAGCTGACGATGAGCCGAGCGGAGCGCAGCATCCAGCAGAGCATCAGCGAGCAGGCCCTCGTCACCCAGAAGAGACGGACTGACAAGCTGAAGCAGGAGCAGCAGAAGGGCCACGGCAGGACGTCTTCCCCCGGTGGGTCCCCGGAAACCTCGTCCTCTTCGGCGCCGGTCACGCCCACCAAATCCTCCTCCTCCCCCTCCTCGTCCAACAAGGAGAAGAAGATCCGCGTGACCACCAGTGACGGCAGGCAGGCCATGCTGACCCTGCAGGCCCAGACCACCTTCTCAGAGCTGCAGAGGAGCATCGCCAACCAGTTCGGCGTGCCGCCGCCGCAGCAGTGCATCCGCTACGGCTTCCCGCCCAAAGAGCTGGTCCCGCCGAAGGACGGCGAGGAGAACGAGCCGGTGGCGCTGCAGCACGGCGACAGGGTGACGGTGGAGATACTGAGGGGCCCCGAGGAGAAGAGCCCCGCGGCCTCCATACCCCGAGCCTCCAGCTCGCACTCCGCCCTGCACTCGGTGAAGAGCGAGGACGCCGTGACGTCCGGCAGGATGAGCAACCGGGAACTCCAGGACAACATTGACCTTGAGATGTCCTCCCTCTGTCTCCTAGCAACCTTGATGGGTAAGTGACATGTAGGCCGCCTCCCCCGAGGAACTGAGTTCAGACCTGAGAGCAGATTTCAAGACAAACAGAGTCCCGTTATCCAGCTGCTGTTTGGCAAGTCGGGCTAACGGTTCCTTTCTTTATCATTTTATCGATTCTCCTTTAACTTATCAGTGAAACATTTAGAGGAAACAGTCCGAGGATCCAGTCAAGTGATGTGACACTTAAAAGCTGAAAGCATTTTCACATTGGCTTTTTAAAATATATAAATGTTTGTGTTTAGTGTTTGAGCAGCAGATCAGATTCACGTTTCAGATCTCAGAATAGAAGTTTATGTCATATCTAAGTTTGACTGAGATGTAACATTGACTCAATATTGTGGTTTTCCGACTCAGACTAAAGTTAGTTCAAACCTCCACAGTGACTCTTTGACCGAAACAAGCATTTAAATTAGAACCAAATTTAACTTTTGATACCTCAAAGCTCTCTTTAGCTGTGTCTTTTTTTACATTTTATAGACTAGAAGCTAAATTGATCAGTAAAAGCATCAGTCTCATGTTCTGATGTTTTTCAGCAACATGAGAAGAAAATGTGTTTTTATATCTGAGTGGTAAAGTGGCTGTAAATTACAGGCTGAAGTATTTTAATTGTTGATTAATTTCCAGATCAATGGATTAGTTGCTTGGCTGTAAAATGTCCGTCAGCGTCGACCCAAAGCTGAAAGAAACCAGAAAATATTCACATGTAAGAAGCTGGAATCTGATTTAAAACATTACTCAGACCTATTACATTGATTTTAAAAACAGCTGGCAATTGATTAATTAAATCAATACCTGGTCTGTATTAACAGAAAATAGTTTGCTGGAGCTTTTAAACATTAGTTTTAGTTGAGACACTCGGCTCAGTGGTCACGTTTTGAAGCAGTAGTTCGCAGAGTCGGTTCATTTATTTAAGTCCGTAATAATCAGGTGCTCATATTGACACTGAAACAGGTTTTTGCTTCCTGGCCGCTGAGAGATCCCCTCCTAATGTTCTCTCTCTGTGCTTAAAGTGGATATTCAGAAGTTTATCTGAAGTTAATGTGAGGCATCAGCTGTCTGATTAAATGAAACGGGTATTTTCCAAAGTTTTAGTCAAATTAAATTCAACCTCTGTGTTCCTGCAGCAGATCAACAAGTAAACACTGCACACAAAAAGGGACTTTTTCACTAAAAACACTCTAATATTTTCATACAGGACAAAGAAAAACTATTCAGCTACAAAGTCTTGGCTGTTCCTGTCAAATAAACACATAAATGAAAATGATGTTTATATTAACGTTCTGTTGATCGACTGATCATTTAATCAGCACATCGTTTCAGATCTAAATGAAAATAACCGTTACGTTATTTACTACTTAATATTTCCCTTCCATTTTTTTTCTTCTCACTTAGAGTCTGGACTTAAATTTGTCTTTTCTATAACTGTCTGTCGATCTATTTGTCCAACTCGTCGTGTAAACTTCAGATTAAGAAACACAAAACGAGGACTGTAGATTTAGTCCCTTTTGGTTTAGGAAGATTATGAAGGCTTCTTTAAATGGCCAACATGACCAGGAGGATTATAGTGTGTGTGAAACCTGTTTCAAGTGTTTTAAAAACAGACTTTTTGCAAGTTAACTGGACCAGATGTGTCTTCATTTCAGTTTGCAACATGTGGAGTGAATCCACATCGGTTTAATGTTGAATGTGTTTGCGCTGCCTCTAATCTGATCCGGTTATTTCTCTGTCTGAGCAGCAGAGAGGCTGAGAGGACACTTGTTCCACTCTGCTCACATGCTCGTGTCCAGGTGCACAGCGCACATACGCGCTGCTTTGTGATTGGTCACAGCAGGCAGGTGAATAACAAACTGCAGGCATCGGCTGAGCGGCAGGTGATGCCCATCAGAGCGTCTGTTTCTGATCAGCTGCCCTGAACGCTACCAGAAAGTCTGTGTGTGTGTGTGTGTGTGCTCTCAAAGTGCTGACTCGGGCCTCTCGACCCCTCCCCGTCTCACCTGCCAACAGGGTCAAAGGTCGCGGCTGCGTTCAGATAAACAGATTCGGCCGGCCAACAGTCAGCGTCTGTCGATATTCAGGAAGGTTTCATCTGCAGTCTGAGCTCTGCAGGCCTGACGCTGCACTTCCTGTTAGAGCTCATGTTCAATAATCCTCCGCTCAGCAGACAGCGAGAGTCTTCACTCTCCGCGTCCGTAGAGATGTTCAGACGCCAATATCTGATCTGCCTCGCGCTTCTCGAGCAGGAAATCTTTGCTGCTTGATATGTTTGGACAGAAGATGGATGTTTTATTTTGCAAACGTATGACGTGAGAGATACAAAACACGTGAATGAGTGAAAATGCAGAGTAAAAAAATAAATAAATCACAAAGACGTTTTAATGAGGCCGTATTTATGTTCATTTTCAGGTTCACACTTTTTATTTAGGGCTCCTACTAGAATAGGTTTGCTTTAATGTAAGGCTTCCTGCTCAGCTGGAAACACCGCTGTAGCCGTCACAGGCGTTATGCAAATTTAGCGCGTTACGCAGTGGCGTCGATGAGTAACGGAAGAAACGGCCGAGATACAAACGAGGCAGCGTTTTCTGTTGGAAACTAATCCGTGAGCTTTGTAGCTTTGCAGAGCTTTCACACAAGCGAGTTGTAATGATTTTACCATCACAGCTTTCTTACAGCAGGGACATGTCTCTACAAATACCCAGCGGACGCTGAATTGTCCCCAGAAATAATTGTCAAAACAATTAAATGTAACCATGATGTGCGTCAGTGTTTAGTCCATGTGTTTTACCTCAGTGGTTTGGTCCGCTGCCGACCTTTTTCAGACCTTCAGAGACTTTATTTCTAAAAGTCTCTCCAGCAGCAGTGACATGAAATACCCACCTTTGACCGCGGGGTCTTATTTTTGACGTGGTGACGCCAGTAGACTCACATTAACAACAGCGTGTAGTATCAGAGGAAGTCAGACGGTTTTAGAAAAGACAAGTTTAACTCCAGACCAAATTACTTGGAAGGTAAATATAAAGTACCAAGTGAACGAACGGCTGTTTTCGTTTAGAGCTGAAACGACGTGTTGATCAACAGAAAATCAATTGCCAAAAGATTTTAAACTTTAATTCATCCTTTAAATTTATTTTCCAATTTGCTAAATTTGCTGCTGAGTTGAATGAAAGTAAACTGAGAATCAAAACAAATCTGAAGACGTCACCTTTGACTCTGGGAAACTGTCACCAACATTATTCATTAAAAACATGTCTTTTAATGAAAATAAGAATTTTAATGGAAAAATATTTATTCCCTCTAAAGTCGTATCAGAAGATCAAAAGATATTTTGTCAAAATCATTCAGCATTAGTAGAAAAATGCCAAAATTGTCCCTGGCAGTAATTTGGATCAAAACAATAAAATATCAGCACGGTTGTTCGTCAGAAACTATTCAAACATTAAATTCAGTATTTAAGTAAATTTTCAGGCAAAAATACCAAACCTTTGTTGCTGAATTGTGAGAAATCCGCTGTTTGTCTTTGTATGATGGTTAACTGAATATAAAAACCTTGGCTTGGACTCTTCAGCTGCAATGTTCATTATTTAAAATATGCAGATTATATAACGGAACAAAATGAGAAAACGTTCACACTGCAGAAGCTGGAAAGAGAACAGCTGTCGATGAATTAATCATTTAATCAACGCTTCGATTTAGTTGCAACCCCACTTAATATTTACCTTTTCCCTTCCAAATCATTGGATTAGAGTTAAACTGGTCTAAAACCTTTTTGGCTTTTAACCCCTTTTTAAAAAAGCTATTTCTGTGTCATCACAGGTTGCGTGCGTTTCTGTCAGGTGTGATTAATTTAAGCAGTTCAAAGAATTGTTTGACTTTTTTGTTATTGCAGGGCTGAATAGTCTGAAGTTTTCAACAAAGCAAAGATTAGAGAGAAGTGAGATAAAAAGAAACTTGTGTTGTTTCCCGTCATGTGACCCACTGAGGGGTTGCGACCTTCAGTTTGGGAGGTTTACTCACGGTGGCTGCGTGTGCGTTCACGTGTGCTCACTTTCTGTTTTACTTCCAAATCAGTGGTTTCGCGCTGTTGGAAGTTTGTTTTAAACACGTCCGCCTGGGAGACATTCAATGCTTTAAAACTCAGCTGTCACCTCTGGTTTTATCTAAGGTCGGAACATTTGGGTTTTTCCAGTTTCAGCTGGTTCCTCGCATCATTTTGTGTTGACGCTTTCTCTCTTGTCTGTTCCAGGCGAGGACGTTTGGTCGTACGCAAAGAAGCTGCCGCACTTATTCCAGCAGGGCGGCGTCTTCTACAACATCGTCAAGAAAGACATGGGTACGTTTGTTTGCAGTAAACACCTGGTTTCTATAATGGCGGTTACCGACCTGCCGCATATAAACACGTTTCTGCTGTAACCAGGACCCTGTTAGAATAATCCGGTTTCTTCTCATCCAGATAATTTGGTTCTTTGTTAATCCTGGATGAGGTTATCATGAATAACAGGGCGCTCTTATTTTGAAAAAAAGGGCAACATGAGTAGAGAGTTGAAACCATGATTACTGTGACGATGACATGGACATAAATCTCATTTTATATCATTTTATAAATCTCATAGTTCACACAGTGTGTCCACACTTTGATCACTGTTAAACTTTGAGATATGACCAGTGAGTCATGCAGGTGCATGATGGGTGATGCAGTTCTGATGGTGCAAGAGACGTTTCAGTGATAATCATGCAAGAGATGTCACCAGAGATTTAGTGGTCAACACAATACCAGTGAAACTCTACGATCCATTTCAAGAGCACGGTAAAATACAAAACAATAAATCCCAAGCAAAACAGCTGTGAAAGCTGGGAGAGGATTTTCCAGGACAGATTAGAGGTGTTGTTGTTGTTGTTCGGTTTATCCTGCAGGTAGCTCTTCATTATAAAAGTGTAGCTGTGAAAACTCCTCAAGCGGATCATAGAGATCTGTCAGTAACCTGCACGCTCTCTTCTAAAATCCTAATTACATCGACTCTGTTTCATTGTTGAGCAAACATCTCGGTCGTGATCCAGCCGAGTGTCAACAAGCTGCACTTGCGCTGGTTTGGACTGAAGGACTTGTTTCTATGAAAAATTATAATGTGGAGAACAGAGCCCGGGTTACTGCAGTGCATGTGACTGTTTTCAGTTACCTGTCTAACTGGATTCATGAGTTCCCTTGTGGTTTTGGTAATGTCTGATGACTTGAATGAGTCCTCCGCAGTGACTCTTGCAAAGTTTTTGGTAGAGTCAGAATGTCGCCATCTGCTGGCCGCTTCCCGCTCTTTCATTTTTACAAGAAGGGATCTCTGAGGCCAGCATGGACTCGCACAGAAACTGCCTCAGTGTAACAAAAGTCCCAAACTGAGTGCCTGAGTATTGTTTTAGGAGTGGAAATGTGCGAGTATAAGCACTATATTCAAACCTGCAACGATTATTTTCATTCCGTCGACTAATCTGCTGACTTTTTTTCACTATTAATGGATAAATTGTTTAGTCTATAAAATGTCAAGAAATTGTGAAAAAAAGAAATCTAATTTTTCAAGGTCTTCAAATCTCCAAACCTAAAGACTCTTTATTTACTATCATACATGGCAAAGAAAAACAGCAGTTCCTCACATAGAGCAGCGATGTTTAACATCTTTGCTTAAAAAAATAAATCATTATAGTTATCGTTGCAGCTCTGTTCATGTTCTGTGGTGCTCGGGTGATTTTTCTTCAGTCAAGATTTAGTTTATTTCATATTCTAACGTCTGTAACTTTTAAGGTCTCTTAGTTCAGACCGACTTTTCACATTTAGGTTTAATGGAACGATGGACAGACGACGCTTCAGAAGCTCCCGGCCCTGATCGTTACGTTTGCTTCTTTAACCTCCCTCATCGTTTTTGCTTGATCACTTTCTGCAGTTTTCGCTCAGCTGGATGTTCTGATTGAATTGTGTCTTTGATCCTCTCCCTGTCAGGCCTGATGGACGGGAAGCACTGCACGCTGCCTCATCTGACGGGGAAGACGTTTGTTTATAACGCGGCAGAGGAGCGTCTGGAGCTCTGCGTGGACGCCGCCGGGCACTTCCCCGTCGGCCCTGATGTGGAGGAGCTGGTGAAGGAGGCTCTGGTCCAGCTGCGCTCGGAGGCGGCCACCAGGGGCAGCAGAGAGGGGAGCCCATCCCACGGCGTGCTGCGGCTGGGCAGCGGCGGCGTTGTCCGTAAGAAGGAGCAGCTGCAGAACGTCACCGCCTTCCAGGGTAAAGGCCACTCTCTGGGCAGCTCTGGGGGCTCCTCCCCTCCAGAACACCGGCCTATCACGCGCCAGCACAGCAGCGGCGTGGACCTGAGCGCCAGCGTGTCCCGAGGCCCCCCAGACCTGTCTGATATCCCCGAGGACGCCACCAGGGAGCTGGTCCGCATGGCTCCGGGCTTCGTCACCATGAAGGACGGTCGTGGTCTGGACCCCAGCCTGATGGAGCAGCAGCGGAGGAAGCTGCAGGAGATGGTGTCGTCCATCCAGGCCTCCATGGAGCGCCACCTCAGAGAGCAGCAGCAGCAGAGTGCCGCCGCAGCAGGGGGCGGGGCCAGCCAGGAGCTGACAGGCGGGACGAAGACGGGCGCGGGCCAACCGACGTCTACCGTCGACCACGAACCTCCAGCTGCAGCAGGCGCCACGGCGGCCGGCAAACCGGACAGGAAGGCGGAGGAACTGGAGGAGATGGAGAGTCAGGATGCGGAGCAGAGCAACGCCTTCGAACCCATGGATCACTCCTGATCACTCCTGACCCCCCCCCCCAGCACCGCCCCGCCCCCGACCCCGCCCCCGCCTCGCCGGCACCTTCGGGCCATAACGCCTCAGGTCGGATGCTAAAGCTTTGGTCTTCATCGTGTTTCGTCGTCTTTACCGCATGACTAAAGAGCGAGCCGAGCGTCCTCCTCACCTCTCTGCAGACTCGGGCCGGGACGATAATCCACGAGGCGATATATTGAGACGCCCTCTGCGATACATCTCTCACAGTAACATCCCACTTCTGCCGCTGCGTGTGTGTTGAAACTCTATGCACTGTGGCACACGCTCTCTCACCTCAGCTGTCCACTCCACTCAGTAAATAATAAACACAACACATGATTGATTCCTGCTTTTCAGAGAGATCATTTTGCCTTTGTAGGAAACGTTTTGCTCTTCGGTTGACGATGTATCGTAAACGACTGTCTCGCAATTTATCGCAGAGTCGGATCGTCAGGATTGTATCTCTTATCCCTGCGATTCCCACCTGCGGACGTCTGGACTCGCACCGTAATCCGGGGCTGTGAAAAGCGCTCGGGTTCACGCGTAGGACGCGTTCCTGTAGATAGAAGAAGAGTCTTAATCTGCCACCGAGAGGAGAGCTGCTGGACGCGCGGCAGCGTAATGTCCTGCAGACATGCTTCCTTCAAAGTGCTGCTCTGAAAAGTGCACCGGCCTCTGTTCGCATCGACGCCTTCGTTGCCAAAACCTGCTCGTCCGCCGTCCATCTGTCTGTCTGAGGACTGCGAGGATCTGTGTTCGCTCGCCCGCCTGATTTACATTTAGCGTTCTTGTTTTCCACGACACGGTGTGGGATTTGATGTGAAGCACCAGAACCCAGCTTCAGACCAGCCTGCGCCACCTGCAGGAAAAGAGTGTTAACGGTTTGTTTTTTATTTAAACCTCTGAAGTGTTAGTTTAGTTGACTGCAGTGTAACGTCGCGTATCGGCAAGAAGTCCGTAAAGAATATTTGATGTTGTTTAGAAAGCGTTTGTCCAGCAGACTGTAAAAAGTCCTGGGAAGTAGTGGCCACAACCAAATTTAAATTTCCTTATGAAAAGTATTTGATAATATATTTTATGTATAAAAAAAAAAAAAAAAAGAATACTGTCTGATATATAATATATATATTTATATATATATATATATCATGGTTTTGCTACTGACAGTATTAATCAGGCTGTAGCTGTAGGTTGACTTAGTTCTGTTATTTTCAATATCTGAACTATAAACTTACAGGTTGAGTGTTAATCTGCAGAACAGAAGACTATTTCTGCAGATTATTATTACCACGAAGACACATTTGTCTGACGGTCAAGTGCCTGAAAACGCTTCATGTGTCGCCCACTTCACACACGTTTAGAGGGAAGTTCCACTTTGAGTGCAGGTGAGTGTGACACATAACAAACACAAGCAAAACTTTAAAGAAACTTTTGTCGAAAACACTCGTCGCCTGCAGGTGGTCCTGCCTCTGCTCCGCCTGGGTTTCTTCCTGTAAATTAAAAGAGTGCGTACATTTAAACAGCTTCTCATTTTAACGAGGGAAAACAAATATGACCTCGGGCGTGGATGCACGTTTAAAGCTCTAAGCGAGCTGTTGGGAGATGTTGAATGCCAACACAATAATAATAACGTTCGGCCTTTTGTTGAGTTTATTTTAGAATTTGGGAGAGAAAACTCCAGCTTTCAGGAAACAAACTATAAGAAACTGGAGGAAAACATTTATTTTCTAAGCAACCAAAGCTTAAAGGTGCAAAACTGCAGGCGTGTCTGAATCTGTTTAAGTGAATTAAAGAAGCCAGATCCACGAGGTGCTTCACATCGAAAACCCAGAACACGAGTGGATCAGTCGTTTCACTCACTCAGTGCCCAAATATCAAAATGCTAAGGTTTCTTTAGTCGAGGACAACCCGTCATTTCTTTTTTCTTCTACTTTTACTGTAAATGCAAGCAGCTACAAAGCTTTTGAAGTCAGTGGGAGGTCGCAGGGTGATTTAATGATTACGTGTGATTTCTCTGTGGGACACGAGCTTCACCAGGTTTCTTCTTTTTCTTTGCTCTGAAGCTGCGGCCACATCCCCCCCCCCCGCTCAGCAACACTGCCCTGCACACACGCCTGAATGCTGATCACAGAGTGTTGGACTGTGTGAGAGTGAACGTGATGGTGAAACCCGCTAGAATAATAACTTGGTGTGTCCGTGTTTCTCTGCAGAAGTGAACAGGGGAATATCTGCAGCACTGAGGGTGTCATGTGACCGTACCTTTACCTGTCATTGGTTCATTGGCTTCATGTTTAATAACCTCCCATTTAAAAAGAAAAAAAGAAGAAGCGGCCAAAGATGAACAAGGTTCAAGTTTAAACACAGGGTGTGGAGCTGAGAGGAGTCTTCTATGCAAAAAGAAATTTTCACCAAACTTCCAAAAATCAGAGCAGAGAGGTTGGACGTTAAATATCCACAGAAATAAAAAATGAAGACTCTTCTCTTTGGTTGTCACGCTGCCGAGCGGCTGCAGACGTCTTTGCAAGCATCTCGTCACAGTTTAAAGCTCCAACACGTTGCTTCACTTTGAGCTCATGAGCAGCTTTTCTTCATCATTTTGGACTTTATTGTTTACATTTATACTCGTCACATAAATAAGCTAACGCAGGAACACGTAGCAGACTACACCGTGCGGCCAAAAGTATGTGGACAGCCCTGTAGTGCACATTCCCTCGGGTGCTCGTGACTCACAGGGTGTGTCCAAATTCTTTGGGGGGGGGGGGTGTTTTGCAGCAGGATAAAAGAGTCTTTGTCTTCGTTAATGCACTTAGTGTAGGTTTTATTAAACTCAATTTTCATACTCTATTTTTATTCTTGGTTTCTGCCAACGACTAACAACACTTTGAAACACTCAGTTTTTAAAATATCTGTTTTCTACGAGGACGGTCAGCTTGCTCTTTGTCAGCGTTTGACTTTTTCGATGTAATGAACGAGACATTTTGAGAGTTCTTGGGAGGCAGAAACGTGTTTTTGATTCTGCACGTGGTTAAGAAACGCGTGCATGCGTTTTGTTTTTGCACTGATTTTTTATTTTTATTTTTTATTCTCGAGGGAAACAGCAGCTTAAATCCACGATTCATTAAACCCAGATATCCAAACGAGACGGCGGAAGAGGCTGAGCGGAAATCAGCTGTGGGTGGTTGATGAGGATACCTCCTGAAGTTGTGATGCTTATAAAGACCTCTGCAGCTGTTCTCCCAGCATCCTTTGTGCACAACGATCCCTTTTTGGGAAATGCGCTCGCTCTTCTTCTTGCTGAGGGTTAGATGTTGTCTCGGGTTAGCTTAGCTTAGCATAAAGACTGGAACCAGGGGGAAACAGCTAGCCCAGCTTTGTTAAAACAAACCGTGCTGCACTACAGACTTTATGCTAAGCTAAGCTGCGAGCAGTAGCTACATATGTAGTACACACAGGCGTATTTCCCAAAATGTTGAACTGTTCCTTTAAAGACTGAAAGCTAGTTTACATTTTTGTTGCCAACAAAATGTTTTCCATCTCCACGTTGCTGTAGGAACGACGTGGTGTTTCGTCAGGCCTTAAAATCGGTTTATTTTACAGTGAGGATCAGTTTGTTTGATGTTTTACTGTTTTTACCTCAAACTCCTTTAATTTTAACTTGTTTGACCCTAAAAATCTTTTATTTTGACCTTTTTTTTGTTGTTGTTTTGTGTTTTTTTTTTTTTTGACGAGTCTCAAAATGTGAAGCGCGGTCTTTTTGTTTTTCGGCTCTCTTTGAGGTTTTATTTTTAGCCGTTGAGGTGAACAAATGTGAGAATCAGCACTTTGATTGAGGTAAAAAACTAAATAAAGAGGGAATGTTAGCGTAGCATGCTCATATTAGCTGCACCTGAATCATCATCATCGTCATCAGCCGGAGAGGAAAGCGGTCGCTCGCTCGGACGAATCAAAAGGAAGGAAAGTTCGCTCGGATGACACTGCTGTAACAGATATGAAGTTTTTCTTTGCTGTACTAATGACATGAATTGTAATCCAGTTGTATAATAGTATATATTGTAGTATATTTGGACCTGTACATAAACGACAGAAACACAGATTCACTTCTCTTTTTTTTTGTTTGTTAACTTCTCTCTGGTTTGCTAATAAAATGTTGATGATACACGGCTTCGACATCGCTGTTTGCATGTGTGATGACTTTTCAACCCTGACAATAAAATCACTTCCTTCACTTGTTTTTGTATTTTGTCGTCACTGACAGATTTTTCCGTTTGTCTTTTCCATGTTTGTACATCAGTGTCGTCCATTTTCTGACCGTGTCGGTTTCAGTTTAAGTGTCAAAGTATTGCTGGGCGATGACAATAAATTACTGTCATCAAAAGAATGTGTTCACATATAGTTCAAAATGCTATTTGATGCTTTGAATATTGGATTTTTTATGTGATTTTTGCATATATTAGATGCATATGAATCAAAGGATGCCCAATGATTTATATACAGTGGGTACGGAAAGTATTCAGACCCCTTTAAATTTTTCACTCTTTGTTTCATTGCAGCCATTTTCCAAAAATCAAAAGAGTTCATTTTATTTCTCAGTAATGTACACTCAGCACCCCATCTTGACAGAAAAAAACAAATGTAGAAATTTTTGCAAATTTATTAAAAAAGAAAAACTGAAATATCACATGGTCATAAGTATTCAGACCCTTTGCTCAGTATTTAGTAGAAGCACCCTTTTGATCTAATACAGCCATGAGTCGTTTTGGGAAAGATGCAACAAGTTTTTCACATCTGGATTTGGGTATCCTCTGCCATTCCTCCTTGCAGATCCTCTCCAGTTCTGTCAGGTTGGATGGTAAACGTTGGTGGACAGCCATTTTCAGGTCTCTCCAGAGATGCTCAATTGGGTTTAAGTCAGGGCTCTGGCTGGGCCATTCAAGAACAGCCACGGAGTTGTTGTGAAGCCACTCCTTCGTTATTTTAGCGGTGTGCTTAGGGTCATTGTCTTGTTGGAAGGTAAACCTTCGGCCCAGTCTGAGGTCCAGAGCACTCTGGAAAAGGTTTTCGTCCAGGATATCCCTGTACTTGGCCGCATTCATCTTTCCCTCGATTGCAACCAGTCGTCCTGTCCCTGCAGCTGAAAAACACCCCCACAGCATGATGCTGCCACCACCATGCTTCACTGTTGAGACTGTATTGGACAGGTGATGAGCAGTGCCTGGTTTTCTCCACACATACCGCTTAGAATTAAGGCCAAAAAGTTCTATCTTGGTCTCATCAGACCAGAGGATCTTATTTATCACCATCTTGGAGTCTTCAGGTGTTTTTTAGCAAACTCCATGCGGGCTTTCATGTGTCTTGCACTGAGGAGAGGCTTCCGTCGGGCCACTCTGCCATAAAGCCCCGACTGGTGGATTGCTGCAGTGATGGTTGACTTACTACAACTTTCTCCCATCTCCCGACTGCATCTCTGGAGCTCAGCCACAGTGACCTTTGGGTTCTTCTTTACCTCTCTCACCAAGGCTCTTCTCCCCCGATAGCTCAGTTTGCTCTAGGAAGGGTTCTGGTCGTCCCAAACGTCTTCCATTTGAGGATTATGGAGGCCACTGTGCTCTTAGGAACCTTAAGTGCAGCAGAAATGTTTTTGTAACCTTGGCCAGATCTGTGCCTTGCCACAATTCTGTCTCTGAGCTCTTCAGGCAGTTCCTTTGACCTCATGATTCTCATTTGCTCTGACATGCACTGTGAGCTGTAAGGTCTTATATAGACAGGTGTGTGGCTTTCCTAATCAAGTCCAATCAGTATAATCAAACACAGCTGGACTCAAATGAAGGTGTAGAACCATCTCAAGGATGATCAGAAGAAATAGACAGCACCTGAGTTAAATACGAGTGTCACGGCAAAGGGTCTGAATACTTATGACCATGTGAGATTTAAGTTTTTCTTTTTTAATAAATTTGCAAAAATTTCTACATTTCTGTTTTTTTCTGTCAAGATGGGTGCTGAGTGTACATTACTGAGAAATAAAATTAACTTTTTTGATTTTTGGAAAATGGCTGCAATGAAACAAAGAGTGAAAAATTTAAAGGGGTCTGAATACTTTCCGTACCCACTGTATATCTGTGCCGTGCTGCTAATGCTAACTGTTGATACCTAAACAACAGCAGTCAAACTGCATGTTGAAATTAACTAAAGTTAATTACAGTTCTTTAAAAAAAAGCTCTGTGTTCCTGTCAGGATTGTTTGTTCCAGATGCTTTTAAAATCTAAACTTTTATCATTTCTTTGATATATATATATATATAATTCAAACAGGAACCACCACAGGACTATGTTATATTTTGACACAAATTAATGTAATGGTTGCCCCATAGGGAAATGTAATAAACAAAAAAATATTTAAATAAATAGAAAAATTAAATAAACATCAATGAAAAACATTTAAGTAAAAAAAAAAAAAAACATTACAACACATGAAAATCTGGTTAAAAGTTTGTGAAGGAAGATTAATTTAAATAAATTCTACTTTATAAATTTTTATTCCTGATCATTAGTAATCGGGTCACAGAACACAGCGAAACACCTGAAACGTTTCCCGCCGCTGTGTCTCACAAACCTGCAACCATCCTCTGGCCACATATTTCATTTAAGTACACTGAACGACTGAATCAAACAGCTGAGTGCTTTAACTTTGTAAAACCAAAGAAATGAGGGATGACGAGTATTTAACTACAACCTGTGGAGGAAACAACACTGACAGACACTTCACCTGCTGTGGCTAATTCTGCTCAGGGCCGTTTCCAGGCTCTTGACACATGGGGGCCTTTGCCCAGCCCAGAAAACTTTCATGTTTTCATCTGTTTTCCAGCTTCAGAGCGTCCTGGAGCAGAGAGACGGTCAAACAGAGGGGTATCTCTGAGCGAGGACACAGAGCGACAGCTGCGTCATGTTATTCTCTCGCTACTTTGAGGCCACTGTTAACCGTTTCTGTAGCAAATACACTGACGGACAACATTTATATTTAAATGTTTTGATTACAATTTCGCTGGGGACAATTCAGTGGTCACTGACAAGCCCTGAAGCTGTGAGCAATGCTCTCTCTCTCTCTCTCTCTAAATGCAGGCAGGCTGAGTAAGCACGTGAACTTCAAACAAAATCTAGTAACATTACTGCGAGTAGCCTCCGTTCTTTCAGGCCGCGTCATGAGGATTATTGCATTTTAATATGGAAAATAATTTTGTTGCTGTTGTTGAGCTACATTCAGAAAAATGACCTGGCGACCCCGATAATTCTGCTAACCGTGCTAACCTACTGTAGAACTGACTGTTGGAGAGACCTCAAAGTCTACCTGCTAAATTACTTTCAAGGTTTTTACTTTTTATTGTCATTAGTATCAGTTTTGAGAATCGATTAATTAAATAATGAAGCAAAACAATTGTCTCCAATGAGAGGATCCTCAGCTTTTCTCTGACAGCAAACTTGTTTTATTAATTATTATAAACTGAATTTAATTTTTCGGGCTGTTGATGAATATATATAAGTTCTGGAAACTTGTGGTGGACAATTTTTCATTCCTTCTTCAGATCTGAGGTTTACCTGATCTGTCTGGAATTTTTTATTTTCACGTCAATTTACTATAAAAATTCTGTCAAAACATAAAAGATTGACTCGGTGTCAGGATGGAAAACATTGATCATTTTGAAGCAGACTATATTTTATCATTAAACCTGCAGGAAATCTCTGAGATGGTCGGCAGTATCATAATTATGGGGAAATATCATGTTCATGTATGCAAATGGCAAAAGCAGAAACCCTCGTTGATTTGTTTCAGGAATGAATAAAAGTTTTATTTCTCTTCTCTACAAGTATTGTCGGATACCCAGGGCATTAAAAAGCGCCGCCAAGGGGTCTTGACCGAGTGTCCATATGTGAAGACTCATGAGTGAGAATGTGTTGCTCATAACGACACATAACAGAGTCGGGGATAATCTTTTTTTATGTTTTGTATTTCTGAAAACAAAAACAAAATGTGCCACTGCACTCCTGCCGCACCCGCCACGTGCGAAGTCGATTGGATGAACGGTTCTTGACATAACCGAAATAAAAACAGACGCACGTCTGGCTCTCAGCTCCAAGCCCTCGGTTCCGACTGAAGATGTAAATCTGAACAGATTTATAGTTTTTATATAGTTTAATTTCCTCATACTGCTGCTGCACAATCAAACAACCAGGAGGAAATAGTGCATTTGTTGTGGTCTATTTTCAGCAGCGGATGAATCCACATGTGGTGCTACACAAACAATGTGACCCGAGCGCAGCAGTGGGGCTCACTGGTGGGTTTAATAGTTTCTGTGGCTCAGAGGAGACATCAGCATGTTGTGTTGTCTACCACTGGAGGGCGCTGTACCCGGGAACACGTTACTGTCCTCACCGTTTTCCACCTGTTCATGTTTCACTCGTCAGTCATGAATCTGAGCAGCTTTAGGACCCAGAGCAGAGCAGCTGTCAGAGTCGTCCGTGCTGTAAATATAGCAGCGTGTGTGTGTTTGGATCGGAGCAGTTGGGGGTCATGAGGAGACCTGAACAGACCGGATCAACCTGACCGGCTCCGTCCTCAGTCTGCAGGACCAGAAACAGGAAACACCTTCCTCTAAAACCCAGAGAGAGAGAGAGAGAGAGAGAGAGTTGACCTGAAGATCAGCTGGCAGCTGCTGGTGAGTCTGTCTGTCCTTGTGAGGGGGTGAGGCGTTCACTGACCGCCGCCTCTGTAGGTTCACTGTAGATTTGTTCTTCATAGTAGGCACGAATGTTTGATTCATAATGTTATGTATATTTGATCCTGATCTTTATTGCTTTGTGTGTTTAAAAGCTAAAATGAGTAAAACATTTTTTAGAAAGAGCAAGAAAAAGCACAAACACATTTCTTTGATCCATTTAAAAGGTAAGGAGCATTTTACAGTCTCAGGTTGCTTCAGGTGAGACGCTGAAATGTGGTCCAGAGAGTCCCGTTAGAGTCACAGATCGAGGAGTCTGAAGGTTTGTCCAAACGCCACCTCACAGCACAGAGCTTTATAATACTGAGAGAGAAGATTTTACAGCTCTGAAAAATGTCATGGTGGATATAATTTTATCTTGAGGTAAAGAGCAGAGACTTGTTCATGTTAAAAAAGATAATCTACCAGGGATGTGCACTCACAGGACTGTCTAATGCAGCACCTCGCAGGATGATGTC